TTGTGTGGGATCCTATCCCACTGGCTGGCCCAGCTGCACTGGGGACCTTCAGAACTGTCAGGTGCAGAGCAGAGAGGGTGCAGGAGAGCAGGATGCTCATGGTGCTGAGCGTTAGTGGCTGTGTCACTGGGGCAGGGTCATTAAACCCACCCTGGCAGTCCCACATCTGCCTTGCTTCAGCTGAGCTCTGCAGCACAAGGAGACCCGGGTAGGTGCAATGCTCATTCCTGGCTTGGGCTCATTTCTCCCATTGTGAAATCCTGGCAAACTGGTTTTGAGCTGAGTTTCTGGCTGGCTGTGGCAGTCCCCACCAGCAGTGGGAGTTGCCAATGCTGGAGGTTTCAGTGGCTGATTTGTTGCCCCTTCTGGAGCTCGTGTTTCTCTCCAACAGCTTTCTGAAAGTTAGGGGTGATCACACGTGTTTGAATTGTAGAACAAGGAAAGGAAAAAAGTTTTCTGCTCTCATTGAAGTCCTAATTGCTTCTGCCAGGAGGTAGTGCCTTACCAACCTGTATCTCTGGAGCTTCCATTAATCCATGCTTTGTTTTTGTAGTTTATTTCCAATTTGTTATCTCACCAGTGAGGTTTTAGGGCTGCAGATCCAGACTTGACTTACACACAGAATTCAGAACTCTCTGTGAAAGGCCCTGGGTGAAAGGTGAGGTAGATAAGCTGGAACTGCTTGTTGGGGCAGTTCAGTATCACTGTATCTCTGCGGGCCGATGCCAGAGGGATTACGTCTGTTCATGGTGGAATATTTTGGTTTCAGAAGCACTGATCTTAGTGCATTTGGGATTGCATGAGCAGAATTGCACTCCTGGTGCCTGGAGGATGTTCCTTTCACTGGGGTGACAGCCTCCCCTGGGACTGCTGTCTGCATACAGCCAGAAGCTGCTGAGCCTGCATCTGCCTCAGGTGTTCCTCCACTCGTTTCCCTGTGGGCTCCCTCCTGAGAGCTGTCTTTAGGCTGTGTGTCCTCTGGGATCTCAGGTGGGGAGCTCCTGGAGAAGCACTGTGACAGCTGTGGACCGAGGGAGCGTGGAAGTGCAGGCACGTCACTCTTCATGTAGGAGAACAAACAAACCAGACAATCTGGGTGGTGCTTTTCCAGCAAGATGTCATCAAGGGGAGGTAATTCCTGCAAGGGTTCAAGAGTACAGAGTTGTGCCACGTCAGGGACAGTGACCTTCCCCAACTTCCACGTGGGAGAGCACTGTAGGGGACACCCCTCTCCTTCCATGACACCTGCCCAAAGGCTGCAGCACCTGGGGGTTGATACCACAGAGCAAAAAGGATGTGTGGCCTGTTTTAATATCTTTTAATATCTACCACCTTGGTGCTGGTGAACTTTTTGGGCATGTTGAGGTGGGTGTTGAGGAAACCAGCGCTCGTGCCTGGCTTTGTAAACACTCTCAGGAGTGCTGGCACTTTGGGGTGATTTCTAGGGTTCTGCTAGGACAGGAATTTCAATTAAGAAGGTGATTTGGAACAGGAAGGTGGCTGTAGCAAAGGCCTCCCATGCAGCTGCTCACTGGGCCTGTGGTGGTTACACACAGGCTTTGCTCACCTGTTGGTGTAACAGGTCACACAGTGGGCTCTGAGAGAGCTTTTTGTCAAGGGATTTATGGTCTCTCTGAGATCAGGGTGTTGGGACAGTACAGACTTCCCAAGGAAGTGCTGAGTCCACATGCACAAGGGCAGGTACCCAGAGCATCACTTTCTTCTGTCCATCCCAGTAGGGAAAGGAACGAGTCTCCCATCCTGTAAGTGTGGTGAGAATCCCCACAGATAAAAATATTCCCTGGAATCATAGAATGGGTTGGGTTGGAAGGGGCATTAAAACTCATCCAGTCCCACCCCCTGCCATGGGCAGGGACACCTCCCACTAGCCCAGGTTGCTCCAAGCCCCGTCCAACCTGGCCTTGGACACTTCCAGGGATCCAGGGGCAGCCACAGCTTCTCTGGGCAACCTGGGCCAGGGCCTCACCTCCCTCACAGGGAAGAATTTTATCCCAATATCCAAAGTAACCCTGCCCTCTGGCAGGGGGAAGCCATTCCCCCTTCCTGTCACTCCAGGCCCTTGGAAATAGTCTTTCTCCATCTTTCCTGTTGGTCTCTTCAGGCCCTGGAAGGCCACAATCAGGTCACCCCAAAGCTTCTCCTCTCCAGGCTGAACAATCCCAACTCTCCCAGCCTTTCCTCCCAGCAGAGCTGCTCCATCCTCTGATCCTCTTGGTTCCTCCTCTGGACTGGCTCCAGCAGCTCCATGTCCTTGCTGTGCTGTTCCCAGGGCTGGAGCAGCTCTGCAGGGGGGTCTCCCCTGAGGGGCAGAGGGGCAGAATCCCCCCCTGCCCTGCTGGCCTTAGGTAACAGTGCTGTGAGTTGCCAAATCATTCCTGAAGGTGCTTTTTATCAAGCAAGGCGGCTGCTTAAGTGCCCTTTTCTTTCCATCTGGAGAGATTTTGCCCCCATGTCTGCTCTGCTGGAGTGCTGCTGCTTCTCCCAGCTGTGCCAGCTGAAGTTCTTACAGCTGGTTCAAGAGCCCAAGAAGTTCTTCCATGAAAATTGAATGGCACTATATATGTCTCCTGAGGTAAGCAACTAGATTTTCTTCTTTTTTTGCTTAATTTCCAGTTCTGTTTCATCATTACTTCCTTGAAAAGCCCACACAAATTAAAACTTGAGGCAATAGCCACATATATTTAGTTATTAGAGGTTTATGTTACAGAAGTTCATACCATTTTTTGCATTATGCTTGGGAAAAATTGGGGAGAAAAACCCCTTTGATCTTTTGTACACAAAATACTAATTGTCCCAATTCTTAGGCAGGTTGTGAGCAGTCAATTTAATTCCTAGAAGGGAAATAACTTTGAAGTTAGAAATGAGGAATGATGCAACAAATGGAGATCGTGTTGACTCATTTTCTGTCTGATAGATATCTAAGGGGAACATGGAGGTGTTACATGGTTTTGATGCTAATTTTTCTGTTACATATGAACACAACTTTTCTGTCTCTCCCCTCACCTTTCTACTGCTTATTTTTAGTGAGAACTGCTTTTCCTTCCAAAGTGCCCTCATTGGAACCAGTTGTGTGTCAGGCTGGAATGGTTTAGAGTGGTCAGTGGTTAGAGAGGCCCCTCTTTCTGACTTGTCCTCATAGACACCTTCTTGCTGCTCCTTGTTCTTCAGTAAATGTATTTCCCCCCCTTTCTTTGGTCTGTTGGGCACATTTTACTGAAGGTACACAGAGGCAAAGTAACACAGAAAGGCTGTAAAGATGTGAGCTTAAAATTCATCCCACAGAAGCAGAATATTAAATGTTTTTATCCACCTAAACAAACAAAAAACCCTTAAAAATAATACTTATAGGAATCAAAATGCATAATTGACTCATCAGAGATGACTTCCAGTCATTTAACTTGTCTTTCTCCTGGTGTCCTCCAGTGGATGAGATGTAGCCTGTGTCCTGTCCAGGCAATGGTTGTGGGGAGATTCCTTGTGCCAGATGTGCTTTTCCAATAGATATTGTGTTGGGGCTCATTTTCACAGTTCTTCCAACTGTGCTGTATTGATTTTATGGCAGAAACTTTAATCTGCCCTTAACTGAGGGAAAAACTCCAACCCAACGTAAGGAAAAGCACGAAATGAGTGATGCTAAAAAGCGACCCTGGTATTATTTAGCTGAGCTAATCCCGAGTGTAATGCCATGGGTTTAACTGGAATTACACTGGGGATTAGTTCAGTTGATAGCTGATTGCACTCTAATAGCTGCCTGGCCCCAGGAGTTGGTTGACTAGGTGCTGCTTGCCTCCTTCCAGCCCCATTCCTTCACTTCCATGTTTTCCCTGCTCCCACAGTGGAGCCCAGTTCTTCCAACAGGACCTCACTTGAGGAACCCCATTTATTCCACTGTCTCCCCTTTCACCTCTCCCCTGGGGTTTCCCACTTTCTGTTTTAAGGGTTCTTTGGGAGAACGAGCCTTCCCTTGGTGAGCTTTGCAAAATGCCACCACCTTTTTCCTTCTTCCTCTTCCACCGAGGAGCTTCACTCAGGGCATCGTGACTTTAAACTGCTGGAATGAAGGACAGAGGTGGAACTGGAGTGTTTTTATGGAGAGGGAGATGCATGGCTGGTGGTGGTTGTGTGCTGAACAGGTACCAGGAGCAGCCCAGAGTTGGCTCAGCATATCAGCCAACTGTCTGATAGATACCTAAGAGCACTTGCTCTTCTGGGAATGATGAGAAGTGAGTGATCTCCTCCTAGAGGAGAGGCAGCACAGTGTGCACAGCCCTCCTGATAGCCCTGGCTGGATCCATGGATGGAGGGGTATGGATCAGGAGATAGTGGTCAGAGGACATGTGCCATGCTGGATCAGGCTGTGCATCCCCAGGTGCAGAATTACACACCCCTGGGGATCATTTCTTCCTGTCTCTGGCTCCCGGGCCATCCCAAGGATGAACCGTGGTTTCCCTCCTCCAGCACACTGCCTGTCCTCTGATCCAGCAGCATCCTGGGATTCAAACTTTTCCCGTGGTGGAAAACGGCAGATTTGGGGCAAAACTGCCAGGTGTGGTGTTTCTGCTCCCCTCACCTGCTGAGCTTTGTGTGCTGGTAGACTCCTCTGTGTTTCTTTTTAACTTCCTTTGGCATTTTGGCCAAACACTCAGGGACTATCCTCCAGCACTTCTTGGTCTTAGACATCATCATCATCATTATTCTTATCCTTATCATCATCCTCCAGAGGTGACTTTTCCAGTCGTTCCGTGCAGGCTCTTGTTCCTCCTCTCCCTCCTGGAGCCCGGACTGGTCGGAGCTGATTTCAGGGCAGCTTTCCGCTGTCGCCCAGCGCGCCGGGAGGGTTCGCGGGTGGGTGACACGTCCCCCCGGTGCCGGAGCGCCCTGCCCGGTGCCCGGGGGGGGCCGGGCCGGAGGAGGCGGCGGCGGGGGCGGGCGCAGGGCGAGAGGGGCCGGCCCAAGGGCCGCGCTACGTGTCGCCGAGCCCTTATAGCCCCGGCCCGCCCGGCCCTGCGCGCCGCCCGCACCATGTCGAGCCGGGAGCACACGGTAGGGACGCGCCGGGGCCGGGCGGGGGGTCCCTGCCCAGACCGCTCTGGATCCCCGTGGGCATCCAGCGCCTCCGGGAGCCGGGACGTCCCGCCTGGGGAGGGACGGCAGAGCATCACCCCAGGGGTGGCGAGGATGGGAGGAGGACGCTCTTGGCACCGGGCAGGGGCGTGCCCGGCCATCCCGCGGGTTGGCCGCGCATCCCTGCGGGGATCCCCCGCACCTGCCCCGCGGTGCCACGAGCTGCCGCGACATCCATCCCCCGCGGAGGCGGCGAGAAGGCTGAGCCTCGCTCCTTGGGTGGCTTTTTGGGCGTCCTCTGCCCCGCTCCCACCCGGGGGAAGAAAGCCCGGCGAGCCCCTCGCCGCCACCGATGGGCTCCCAGCGCCCCGCAGAGCCGGTGCTTTAAAAATATAACGCGCGCAGAGCGATGAAAAAATAAGCATCGCCAGGGCAGAGTTCAGTTAGAAATTAAAATTGCAAATCGCAGCCGCAGCCAGAAGTCGCTTTCCGCTTGCCAGCTGCCCTCTCTCACTTCTCGGATTTGGGATGCGAGCCCCGGGTCCCTCCGGCTGCGCCATACGTTTTCCAGGTTTTAAATCAGAACCAGAAGAAATCTTGACGTAAGTCTTTCAGGCTGCTGTTGCTGGTTGGTTTTTATTTCTTTATTTTTTTTTTTTTTACTTCATCGTGCGTTTTTCAGATGCATTTTGAGCGCCCTGGTAATGTGTGCGGGTAGGAATGCAACCAAAACCACGCGGAACAAAGCGCGCCTGTGCAGCCGGGTGTTCTTGGGCACGCGAAAACCTGTGGTTTAGGGATTATTTCAGGGAGGGGAGGTGCAAGCTCTGAGCTGTGCATGGGAGTTCTGTTTATTGCTCTGTGACAGGAGGGAGGCATTACTGAACTTCCAGAATAATCCCTCTCCTTTGCCTCCACCCTTGGCTGGAAAAATGACCTTTATAAGCAAGTTTGCGGCTGACCTTTGTACGGTGACTGTCAAAACAGATCCTATCTGGGTGACAGCTGTGGGCGGATTTTCGCGTGCTTATCTGCCAGGTATCTGATGGACTGAGAAAAGGAGTGATTTCACTAATTACCGGAGGTTTTGGGGATGGTGATGAAATGGTGATGTCCCATTAGTGATCTTCCCGTCAGCCCCGGGAAGATGTGTTGCGCAGAGCGTGGAGGAAGTTCTCTCCCCTCAGCAACCTCAGCGGCTTCTCGGTTTCAGCCATCTCCAGCTGATATCAAAGGCACGGGATGAGGGAGTTCCCTTTGATAGGGATCCTTTGATCAGCACGATTATTTGCATGTGCACGTGGACGATTTCTCCTGACACCTTCTGTAGCTGCAGCCAAGGCAGCTCCATTAGAAAAGGAAGACGGGACACACAATAATTTGTCCTGTTAAGATGGGTACAGCAGTGGGGATTGCCCCCTTCTTAATCCTCATTCTTTATTTTCCCAGTTACATGGGTCGTTATTACTCCTAAAAATCCTCGTTACTAATAAAATCCCAGTTTTACCACGTTTTCATGACGTGGGTGGTGTGTTAATGTTTCTCCCACAGCCCAGGTTTTGTGAGGCTGGATGTTAGCAGCGTTTTGCACCGGCTGAGAGTGTGTCAGAGCTGGGATTTGCAGGTGATGTTGATCAGCTGTGAGCCTTTGAAAGGCATAGCAGTGCCACCTGTGGCAAGATGGGCAGCTGTGCTATTTGACTGTGCTCCTCCTTTTGCAAATTGAATAATTAGAAGCCCAGGATTTAAATCCGAAATTCAGCCTGAATGCCCTCTGGAGTCTGAGGATGGTTTGAGGGTGCTTTGGTTGTATTTATTAATAGAAGCTTCTGGTAGGGTGTAGAGAAGAAAACTTGAATTTTTTTTGCTTCTGCATGTGTTGTCCTTAAAAATGAACATGGCTCCTTAATTCTGCCTTGTCTGAGGCCCCAAAACTTGGTGTGCAGGAATCTCTCTGGCTGGTTACTGTGGAAATGCTTTCTGCTCTTTGTTTCTGCTCACAACGTTGCAAGAGGCATGAAGTCCTCTGTGTGCCAGGCAGTGTCCTCCTGTTCCCAGACCTCACTGACAGAAAACATTTATTACTGACCTGTTTCAGGTCTGATTTCTGGGGGAGAAGAACGTTCTTTAACGATTAAGACCTTAAAGACTTAATGTTCCTCACACAGCCCTCCTGTGTGCTCGGTGGCAAAATGCAGCTCTCAGGAGCGAGCACACGGTGAAGGAGTTGCAGGGAGGAAGGTGGAGCTGTGGGACTGCCCTTGTTTATTGTGCGGGCTCCTGCACAGCGTGGCATTCAGGGCTGAGGGGTTCCTTTAGCTCTGTCCAAACAGCGGGCTGTTCTCCCTCCACCTGCGGCGTCCCTGGCATTTCCGCAGCTCGGCCCCGTCTCTCCCCGCCGGGCAGCGTTTCCAGGAGGACACAGATGGTGCACTGTGCTCCAGGCGAGTTTGCCGCGGAGCCCAAAGCCACAGGCACGGCCTGGGAAGGGCTGGCCCCTCGCTGGGGTGACTGCCTGCGTGGCTCTGTGTCCCTGTGGGTGCATGGAAAATGCAGCTCGATGCATCTCGTGTTATGGAGGCACTTCGAGTTCTGCCCCTGGCAGGGGAACGTCCTGAGTTTCTCTTGCAGGTGCAGAATGAGAGCCTGGTACTGAAACTGTGCCCTTTTCAGGGTGAGTGTCACAGCTTTGTGAGCCCCCTGCTCTTGTCACGGCATCTCCAGGAATCCCACTGGAGTGTGGCATCCCTCGCTTTCACCGGGATGCTGCCGCTGGAGCCTGATGGGTCACAAAGCTGTTACTTCTGCTGGTTCACGTTTGTTTGTGTAGGGCTTATGTGCAAATGGTGTGGGCTTATTGAAATTTATTTAAAGAGAAGGGAAAAAACCACAAGCTCAGATGACAAGCCTGAAGAAAGAGGCTTAGTTTCTTTGCCTAAAAACAACTCTCATGTTGAAAAAACTGGAGCCACGGGGCAGAGTTCAGATGGACTGAGTGATATCCCAGGCAGAGCAGTAGCATATGTACAGCTTCATCAATTTAATTGCTAAGCAACATAGAAGAAAAAGCTTGTTAAAAAACCCAGACCGTGTGTTTATCTCCTCTCACGCTTCCTCTTAACTATTGTCTTGAACACAAAGAGCAAAACACCTTTAAAGGTGTTTATTTTCCAAGCAGTTGTGAATAGCTCAGCTGTTCACTGACACTTGTCCAGGTGACAGTGCCCCCTGATTTCAGGGAATTAGTGTGGCTTGCTCTGGGTTGAATTACTCAAGGAAGCGTTTCTCACGTTTTATCCAGCGAGTCACAAGCCTTGTTCTTACAGCATGATTTATTTTGTGAAATGCAGTGCCTAACTCATTGCACCATGACAGTCAAAGGGGATTGTTTTCCTGCTGCTCATCACGTGCTTAGGATTTCTTGGTTTATATTATATTACTTTTTTTTTGCTTTACATCTGTTTTGTTTGAAGATCATGGAAAGGTGAGGTGATTAACTTTTGTTAACTGTAGCTCTCTCCCCTTTTCTCCTCTTTTCTTTTGAAGCCCTTTGCTATTAACAAGTTCCCTTTCCAGTCTGTTGCCCACACCGTGCTGTTTCATTCACTTGGGCTGCCCCAAGACCCTGTTCAGTAACAATATCCTGCTCTGTTGGGGAATTGCAGGGAAGAAAAGCCAGAAAAAGTTGCGGTCTTCTAAATATGAATGCCTTTTTCTTTCCATGGCTGAGCCTTGCAGGGGTTGGGGAATTAAATAACCACCTTGGTGTGGTCCAGCCCCAGAAGCTGCAAGCTGGGGACCTTGGTGGACCTTCCCCAAGTGCAGGAGGGCTTGTCTGGTGTTCCCTGGCAGTGCCGTGGCAGCAGGGTGTGTTTTCCAAGGAGCTGCATGGACAGACCATCTGCCAGGACTGCAGAAGGACGTGCACATGGAAAAGTAGAAGGGTTTTTCTGCTGGGATGGGTGGTTCCTGCCTGAACACCCCTTCCCTCTGAGGAGAGAGGCAGACGGGGCAGGCCTGATCCCTGCAACTGAGCTTGGAGGTTTTAATCTTTCGCTTTCCCAGTAGGAGCGGTGGCTCTTCAGGACATCTCCATCTCCCAGGGGTCACCAGCTGAGCTGGTGGTGCCATCTGGGGTGGTGGCTTTGAGTCAGTATGTCCCTCCTGTCCTGCTCCTGGACAAACACAGACTCCAGCCTCATCCGCCTTTCAGGATGCACAGGTGAAGTCACAGCCAGTTACAAATCCATGTCAAAACCTGTGACACGGGCAGAGGTTTCCATCCATGCCCTCCCTGGGCAGCCCCTACAAGAGCTTTGAGGCAAGATAAATGATGTTGAAGACCCCACACTACCCAGACATGTGCAGTGCAGCTGCAGCTTAGATTTAGGCCACGGGGATTTTGTTTTTCTGGAGGGTTTTCAAGAGAAACACTGGCATACTTGCTTTTTTTTTTTTTTTTTCTTTTTTTTGTTTTTACTGGGCTAATGTTGATCCTGGAGGGTGTCTCAAAATAGAAATGAAAAGACCTTGCCTATCTGAAACCAGGTGTTTTAGATAAACTTCCAGCTGTATGTGCCCCCAGAAGATAAGTGGCATGCAGGGCCTGTGTTAATGCTGGTCATGCCATGCCCTGCCTTGAGCTTGTACTTTGGTCACGCTGCTCGTACACTTTGGTATCTTAAAAAGTCCATTAAGAGGGAGGCTGTGCAGTTCAGGTTTGCATATATGAATTTTCTGTTATCGTGAGCAGGGTGACTAATGGTTATCTCTGATTGAGCTCTGAATCACAGCTGGGGGAAGTGAGAAGTAGTTCCTTAATGGCTTCACAGCTTAATAATTTCCAGGGGAAAATCTACCCCGGGTGTATCATTAACAAAAGGAGGGATGCGAAAAGCCCGGTTCAGGTGTTCTGTGTTGGGCCTGCGTCACGAAATGGGCTGTGGGAAGTTGGGATTTGCCTCTGGGGCCGGTAGTTC